CCCAATACTAGTTAGATGCTTGGCAAGAGTTTTAATTTAACGTAACAATGTAAAAACTACCATTAAAATTTATTTTGTGATTCAACAGGCTCCTTTTCCTTCTCCATATTATCTGGAAAGATCATGTTTAGGGATGTTGTCTATGTGACTCAAGATCTCAGTTTCAGGTGGGTAAAGCATTTTCCATTTTTTTTTCATGTAATGTTTTCATTTTCATTTTCATTTTATTACATTTACATCACAAGTATTGCTCTATTTTTAAAGTCAATTTGTTAGAAACCATATGGTACAAGTCTTCCTATCTATGAAAAGGATGTAAGAATAGAAATCTCCTAACCTGAATCAATAGCCATGTTTATCATATGTCATCTTTTAGCCTGAACTATTTTCCATTGGGCTAGCACATCTAACTTTCAAACTCTTTGTTAATCCACTGGCTAGTATTTTACTGCTACTGCTGTATTGATTAAACAAGGACACATATCGCTTGTAAACACTGTAGCCTCAATCAACAGCTGAAGAGCTGGTACATATAAGTTTTAAGTATAAATCTACCAGCATTCTATCACGAATGCTGTTGTTTTATTGGCTATGCTACTTACTGTCTATTCTGTTGTATCTAATGTGTAGCCTAGCAGTGTGCAGTTGTTAACAAAATGGTGGCTGCTTCTCTACTATTTCGAAGTGTCTGTCAAGAGGATTTAGATAAATTTTGTTGATTGACTAGTAGATTTATACATTAAACAATAAGATTATTCACTCGTGATTTCTATGTGTAATAGTTAATCAGGGAATTGTATCTAAGTCTAGCCAATTTTAGCAGGATTACAGCCTCTTTCACACTATTAATGTAAGTTTATAACATGTATTGTCATTATGATTTTGTGATTAGGGTTACTGATGGCATAGCAATCTTCAAGTATTGGATGCCCTATAAACCAGCATTGTCGCAGAAGCCTTACCAACCTGTACCATCAGATATAGGTTTGTATAGCAGATCTAGATCATGTGTTTCTGTAGTACTTATCTAAGCGATTAAAGCTACTGCAATAACATGGCATTGTAGCTCAAGGACTTATTATTTCTTACATGTAAGCTTTTTTAATTACCAACTGGAAGATTTATTTGTTGTTATAATTTTCTGGTACAGAATTTTCCTAGATAGTTCCAAATTTATACACAGTGCTGAAATCACAGAAGTCAAAACGATTAAAATTTCAACAAAGATTTCCCCTTAACTCTATAAATTCTACCCTAAGTCACACTTAAGTATCAATAGAATACAAGGAATCCCCCTTATTTTGCAGTTCTTCCCTCATATGAAGTCATAAATTTGTTAATAAATAACCCAAAATAAATCCGAGAAGCTGGGAGCTGAGAGACAGGCCACCTTAATGGTTACATGTACATGTAAGTGCACTCCAGACTCTGCGTTGGGCATTCCAGGCTTGAGCCTTGGTTGGAGTATTGTGATGTTGCAAGACACTTTAATATCACAGTGTTGCTCTTCACACAGGCAGGGCTGCATATAACAGTTGGTCATCGGACGACCAAAATTTGCTCTTGTCCAACGAAATCCCAACTGTTTTTGTTGTAAATCATTTTGCAGTAAGGATGAATAAAAATCTACCTTGAGTGAATCTGATGTTCAACCACAATTTGTTTTGTCTGACCAAGATGGTGTCTTAGTAGGACATATGTCTTTTCAAGAGAAAAAAATTATTTACAGCCCTGTACAGGTGTATTTAGGACTAGCATCCTATCTGGGGATTATGGGAGGGGGAAGTACATGTAGTCTTACCCCTTGTCAAGTGCTGCATACACTTAGGAAACCATGGATAAACTCTGGCCTGATGGGCCACTAGGCTCCAATGCAGACTTATACATGTATTTACCTTTACCAACTTTTATATGCTGTGCTTCATCATGTACACTGTATTTCCTTTATGCTGTAATCAGGAAATTCATTAAGTAACAGAGTTTGTAATGTTAGCGTAGTAGATTATACGTCTGTTTATTTATTAATTTTTTTTTTAACAGAGGTTGATGCAAAGCAACGCCTTATTGTGTGGTTAAATGGCTTAGAATACCATGTCTATAACAGGTTAGAACAAAACACTAAATGCATTTCATCTGATGACAAGTTTCGTATCTAATATACAATATATACAATATTATTTGTGCATTGTTTTAAATTTCTGCTTTTGTGAATGCCATGTGTTGAGTCATTACTAAATGTCTGTATTTCATTTTCAATGACAAACCAAAGGCGATGTAAACGAACAATTTGAAATAATTAAAAGAGCAGGAAATCAATTTGGAATCAAAATGCAACAAATAATCAGCTACAATCTTGGTTAATTTAAATGAAAAATTAAGGCCACCTACATGTACCCCTACAATGATGTGGTTTGGCTTTAATGCAAGTTCATCATTGATTAGCTGGGGAGTTGTGGTTTTATTTCCTTATTTCATCCTGACCAAGGTTGTAGCACAGATCAAGGCAGATTCAAGCGTTTAGGAAGTCACCATCTCTAATCTTGTTACCAGATGTATGATAACAGTGTAAATACTTAGCTACATGTACTTCTCGCATGTCATGTTTCAGGTCACATTTGTACAACAAACTAGAAGAACTTTTTAAAGTTGAAAGATATGGAGGTATGAGTACATGTAAATTTAGAACAGAGAATTTTTGAGTCTCTTTTTGACAGTATTATTATTATCATATTAAAAAATCGTCATCGTCATTATCATCTTCTAACACATAGCTGTGGTCATCTTCCTCCTCTTTGGTTTTCTTTACCTTCTCCTCCTTTTTTTCCTCCTCCTAACAATTGCTTTAATTTGTCACTGATGCCGCTGTTGTCTTCATGGTCATCATCATGTTCCAGTCTTAAGGTAATCTCATGATCTAGAGATCCCTGTTTATTGACAGCATTAACATAACTGAATAAACTTGTTTTATTCATTACATCTAGATGCTGCCAAATCAGCCCAGAATATACATGTAGCCAATGCTGCTGCAGTAGAACGAAAAGCAGATGTTGAAAAAGGGTGTGTCTCTATAACATTTTGTCATATCTTGAACTTATTTTACAGTACATTTTTTTGTATTTTCTACTCAGCAATGTGATAGTTGTAATGTACATATTTATTATTATAAGTTATTTGCCTGGGTATTGAACCCTGCAAAGTAGGTTAAATGCCTTGAGAGATAAGGTTTAAAGGTGCACATAACATCTTGTCATTCTGCTTCATGATTTTAGCAGTTGTGTGTGGAATTTACTTTGATCTAAAGATTTCTGTGTCTGATTTAGCCAAGAAGAGGTTAAAAGTGGCTTGCCTGCATGGCTTTTGGAACTGGTTCCAGCTGTCAAGTTTGATATCAATAATGTAAGTCTTCATTTTGGGAAAAGTGCTGTCTCAGGATTTTAAAATATGTTGCAAGATTATTTAACAATTATTTCATGAGTCAGCATTGGATAACTAACAAATGAGGCTTGAAGTGCTGAGTTTGTGATAATCACCACAAGCATAAGGGCGAATTTATGTATTAGCAATACAACTCTCTCTAAGACGGACACCATCGGGACNTTGCCTGGGTATTGAACCCTGCAAAGTAGGTTAAATGCCTTGAGAGATAAGGTTTAAAGGTGCACATAACATCTTGTCATTCTGCTTCATGATTTTAGCAGTTGTGTGTGGAATTTACTTTGATCTAAAGATTTCTGTGTCTGATTTAGCCAAGAAGAGGTTAAAAGTGGCTTGCCTGCATGGCTTTTGGAACTGGTTCCAGCTGTCAAGTTTGATATCAATAATGTAAGTCTTCATTTTGGGAAAAGTGCTGTCTCAGGATTTTAAAATTTGTTGCAAGATTATTTAACAATTATTTCATGAGTTGGCATTGGATAACTAACAAATGACGCTTGAAGTGCTGAGTTTGTGATAATCACCGCAAGCATAAGGGTGAATTTATGTATTAGCGATACAACTCTCTCTAAGACGGACACCATCGGGACCGGCCTCACTGTCCGTCTTAGAGAGGTGTTCGGCTTGTAGAGAGTCGACGTAACATGACCCCAGGAATTTTAAGGTAATAATGCTGAACCTGTGCACAGTGAATACGCATCTGTTTAAAGTTTGTTTTAAGTTATTTACTTGAACGAAACCTACAAACTGGAACTAAAACATATTTATAAAATTAAGTCTCTTGTCGTATTACAATCAATAGTTAAAGGGTTTACTAGAGTCCAAACTGTGAACAGTACATTCTGCAAATGGGAGCATAAGCATCTTATGACTCAGGACTGTCTTTCGCAGCTCCAAGTCTAAAAAGATGTCACATTCAGCACCTCACATGTGTCCGTTGACGATTTCAAATTGTCTGTTGTCTGTCTTATGGAGGTGTCCGTCTTATAGAGAGTTTGGTTATAGTAAAATGACTGAGAAACGGGCGGGACCAGCACTAGGTGTCCATCTTATAGAGGTGTCCATCTTATAGAGGTGTCCGTCTTATAGAGGTGTCCATTAAGAGAGTTATTATTTCCATCAAATAAATGAGTTTTAATCTGTGCTACCTTGTATAGTGTATGTACATCAGACAATCTTTTTAAAATACAGTCAACATTGTGTATACAGGGTAAGTTGTGTGTATAACTGTGATGATCATTTATGTCTTCATATCTTTCTCTGCAGTTCAAATATATGATCTTTTATATATTCATTTGCATTCTTCACCATCTACGGGTATATTACGAACTAACAATGTGACCAGCCCCCAGTTGGCTTGATGGCTCAGTTGGTAAAGCACTACACTGGTATCGCAGGGGTCATGGGTTCGAATGCCGTTCAGGCCTGAATTTTTTCAGGCTTTAATTTCACAGCTGCTTAAGTTATGTTTATAACTGCAATGATCACCAATGTCTTAATATCTTTCTCCGCAGTTCAAATATATGATCTTTCATATATTCATTTGCACAGTCAACATTCCTCTGGCAATATATTCCTGAATGTTGCTTTCTCATAATTTTTTATATTTGATCTCACTGCAGGGAAGAATAGCATTTGGAAACAAGCTGTTGGAGACTACTCTGTGTTTCAAGTTTGAGAGTGCCACAGGAATTTACACCACCTCTCAGGTACAAGTATATGTGGCTATTGGCACATTGTGGAACTAAATAAATATTTATTGTACTGCTGATCAGCACACGTATGGAAAATTGTGTTATATAAATGTTTAATATTTGTATTATAATTTTGGTATTTGGTTAAGTACAAACGTTCATGAAGTGGCTTAAATTTGTTTACTGTTTCAAGATATTTTTTGATTCAATGTGGCTTTTGTCAGGAAAATGAAAATTCTTTTGGTCAACTTTGCAAGCAAAGCAAGGTCAACAAATTAAGTTAAGTCTGTGTTAGAGCCTTGCGGCCTATTAGGTTGGTTCTTATCTTTGGTTTCCCTAATATTAAGTGGATAGGAGTAATGTTACTCGCCCCCTCCCCCTGGATGTAATGCTAGTCCATTGCAGGACTTCCAGGATTAAATTTGCTGGTACTCATTTATACACCTGGGTGGAGAGAGGCACTGTGAGAGTAAAGTGTCTTTCCCAACAACACAGCACAATGATTCTTGACAGGGCTTGAACCTGGGCTGCTTGATCTGGTGTCTGGTGCAACAAACATTAGACCACTGCGCCTTTCATTAAATTTTAGTGGTTTATCGTAACTTACTGTAGAGCCTTGTTGTTAATAATGGCCACGTGTCAACTGCTGGGTGACCTTTCAGTATTTATTTTATTTTTATTTATTCAGGCTAACTCTTCACTGGATGAGTTCATGCACATTGTGAAGTGTCAGGGGAAAAATGTGCGAGTAATGTTGTCACCCAGTACATCCTACAATGGACCGAGAGATGAGTAAGTTCTTTTACTGTCATCAACATCTAATTTCTCCTAACAATTCAATACATTTTCAAGCAGACAGGAAATGAGAATATAGAATTTAATCAACTTGGCAATCTTGTGTCGATAAATTATAGCAGTAAATTCTCTCAACTAACATTTACCTATGCATTCGGTGGGAGAATGTACATTTTAAGCTGTGGACTGAAAAGGATCTAAAGATTAGTTTTACTTGATTTCGTAGCGTCAAGGTTTAAGTCTTCCAAAACATGATGATTGTTTACAATGGCTTTTGTTTTCAACATTTCCATACTGATGCAGTTCTGAGTTACATACAATATAGCAATGCCTCACCCAAAATGTTATTGCTTAACAGGCAATTACCATAATTTCACTCTCATATGGGAGCATAGGGCATCCAGCAATAACATGACCTTACACAGGCTTAAACCACTTTTTGGGCTCTGTTCTGGGTATCGAGACCCAGGGCTCCAAAAAAGGGTCATCTGGTTCTCTGGGACATGTAGATTTTTCTGCTGCGTAAGTTACTTTTCATTCTCACTTGTCCGATCGATGGGCAAGGGCCCAGGCAAGTCATCTGCTGCTGCCCAGCTAAATCATAATGAACTTAAACTGAGACTTTCCCAGGGCAAGCAAAATTTGAAATCTGCTGGTGTGAAGGGCAAGCTGGTGTTCAAGATTTTTCAGGCCCTGTAGACCACTTCTCCCAGCTCCTGTCATCCAATCCACCTCAAAAAATTGTTTACAAAGATTTCATTAATGCTGAATTGAAAATGATGAGCTGTTATGTTGTTCTGCAACAGACCACCTCGATATATGGGAGAAGGCTTCAATGTTCTTCAGACAGCTGACTGCAAAATCACATATTATCAAGATGAACCAGGTTTGTTGACACCAGTTTGACCTTTGATATTTTGCTGTGCAAGAGGTGTCAATAACAGATTTATTATATGACTGAATGATTGAAAAAGAAAAAGAAGAGTAGTAGAAGCTTTAACTAGTCCAGTACTTACAAAATGTTGGACTTAAGCTATACAGTATTGATCTGATTGGCCATTTCAGCTGTTACACTGAAATCAGAAATATTGGAAATATTGTTAGCACTTAAAGCTAACCTAACTCAGGTATTTTGTTAAAATACCCTTGATGGTACATGTAACCTGTTCTAGGCATTCTGTTAGGTACTTGTGTAGCATTGAAAAGAGCAGTTACTGAAAATAATAATTTGCCCTTGAGGACCTATCATAGATAGTAAGAAAATAGCCCAAAGAAAACACGAGTGCTGATTGGTTAAAAATCGTGTATAATCTATTTCACTTATGAGCTCGAGATTTCTATCACTTATAGAAATCGACAGCGAATAACCTAGTAATTGTTTTAATATAAACCTACTAGTCGTTCAAAACTTTATCTAAATGCTCTTCACTGACACTTTGAAATCGGAAAGAAATGGGCGTCATTTTGTCAGCAACTGCAGACTGCTTGGCTACTCACTATCTATTAAACAATTAGATTATGAGCTCGAGATTTCTATCGTGCGATAGTTGATGAGGGCGCAGCCTGAGTCAACTATCACGCATAGAAATCAAGAGTGAATAATCTAATTGTTTTAGTATAAATCTACTAGTCATTCTAAATTTTATCCAAATGCTCTTCACAGACACCTTGAAAACCCAAAGAAGCAGCTGTCATTCTGTTAACAAAGACACACTGCTACGCTACTCACTATCTATCACAGAATAGATAGTAAGGTAGCGAAGCCAATCAGAGAATGGCATTCGTGATAGAACACTAGTAGATTTATACTAAAACTTGATAGAAACACACAACATGTTTTCTATTTCTTAAATATTTTTTTCTAATCTGACAGGGTTTGCTCTGGAAGTTAAAACTGAGAATGAAGAAGAACTACCTGACAGTGATCCTCACTGGGGAATTGATGTTGTTTTCCTGAAGAATACCACACTATGTTATGGACCATGGGTGGACAGACAGAGGTAAAAACAACAGCAAAACAGTTGGATTTTCTTCTCTCCTCCTGGTTAAGACTATTTCGTTTTCCAATGGGTCAGAATAAACCAGATATATCAGAAATCATTTGGTTGGGGGACTCCCCTATGAAAAGATTGCGGATGCCCATCATCTCACCTAGGGCTATAAATCAAGGATTCTGGTCTCACTTACACATAGGGTGTTGATCATGAAATGCCTCTGTTTTTAGCAGTCAAAGTATCGTTTAGGGTGCACTTAAACAAATAATGATAAAAGAATCCGATTTTAGGCTAGATTTTCACCGGTCTCTCGAGACCGGTCTTCTAGCGCAGCCTCCTTACCTGAGCAGCGGCTGGTATTCAAACCTACTCCGTTTTAAGTGGTTATCTTTTAGGGGTCAAATAAAGCTCCAGCCACACCCAGATTGGTCTCCTTTAGGGGTTTAATTCGAATTTCCCGATGAGCATCCCCGAGCTTTTCATTTGGTAGTCTCCCCAGGGTTAATTTCTGGGTCACCAAAACCTCAGTGTAAAATTTCAACATTGTACACACTTTACATTCAGTGATACCACCAAGCAAGCTAGGGTGACGAAAGCTCAGCAGGTTATTTCTGTGATTAGCAGGTAGCTGTAAAAATGAACTATGTGTAGACACACATTCTTTCTACAGTGATATGACGAGACATGTGTACCACCTCCCTGAATTCCTGGGATCGGTATAACTTTGCTTGCCCTGGGTACCAGTTGAAACCAAAGGAAAATTACACTGGAGAAATCATGTTTACCAAGGGTGGTGTAACCATGATTTATTTGCAGAAGTCCTTTTGTTACCTTGCCTATTGAATGTCTATGCATAGCTCTTCATTGTCAAACATATTTTAAAGGTATTAACATGAATCCTTAGATGCTTTGTTTTGCTATCAACAGAGATGCACTACAGAAGTTCTTTTACCCGTTTGATTATCAAGAGATTCAGGCCACTAAACCACTTGTCCCAGGCCAGAGGCGTGTCCACACTGGACTGGATGTCAAATTTGACTTTGAGTGTGACTCTACGCTGGACATTTTATTTTCCAAGAACAGGGTACGTTTCCCTGGGCTACTCTGGGTTTGTACGTTAGGTAGTACCAATGCTGTTAGTTTACGAAGGAGTAGTATTCAAGCCCAACCAGCTCTAGAGTTAACATATATCTGTTTTCGATTTTACTTTCAGCCTAAGTCCTCTGCCAACAGTGTCTTTCGTTTATAGTAATTAATGTATTCTTCTGTAATGTGCTTTGGTTACTATCGCATTTAGCTTAACATGGTGGTAACCAGCTCGAATTCAATGGCTTCTTTGGTTGCCACGCACATATCTTTTTAGTCTTTTCCCTAACCATGTGTTACAAATATTTCTCTTTTTATTTTACGTTTGCTATAAAGAAGTTGAAGCTAAGTTGGGTTGTGTTATGCTAAATTTACGAGTATTTCAAACTGACTTCGTTTTACGGCTAAAAATTACGACTTCTTTGGTGTTTTCAAACAACAAAGAAACTTCAAACCTAACATGTGGGAGCAAGAAGAGCATGTTGTTGTTTTCGTTATTTTCATTGAAACAGGTCACCAAAGCTGTCCATCTGTGCGTGGGGTCTGGGTCCCATGTGCGAGTTTACCAGCCGTGGACTGTGAATGAGTATGGTTACACCACGTCAGTTGTGGCCAAATTATTCCAAGTTGAAGCCACAACCAGCTTGGCTTATAGACAGCTCATTGAAGCAGAGGTCATGGATGTGAGTTATTTTCGCGATTCTGTACAGTAACATTTGCCATGGTGTTAACCCCTTAAAATTTACTTAAGTTATTAGTTGGCATGCATATATTTGTGACCATCGCTTGGTTATCGCTTGGTTAAAACAAAAAAATAGGAAGTCTGCAAAGTAATAACCTCGCGTATGGAATTTGCATGATTTGGATTGGCTGAGGTACTTGGTAAACCAATCGAAAGCTGTCAAACAGCTAGAAGTCAGGGGCGATTAAGAATGTTTCGCTAACCTCAAAAATCCTTGTTCCTTTTTTCACACTCAGTACCTTTTTGCTGTTTCTAGCTTACACTGTACTGAGTTAACTATCGTTTTCCAGGTCTCCTCCATTTCATTACAAATGCAATCGAACCTGTTGTAAGCAGGCACCCTTGAAACCAAAAAAAATGTGTACTGAGAGAGACGCCCGATTATGAGACGTTCGAGAGAAGGGCATAATCGCATGCTACAGGGATCATGTCCGCTTACGGGAGTTGTCTTCCTTACAGGAAATGTCTGTTACTAGTGGTTCGACTCTACGTTGATTAGGATGGATTTGAAATTTGCTTGTTTCATGTTTGGAAAATTCCTTGTTCTTTCAGCTGGCTTTTCACATGTCTTTTCCGCGCATTTGGAATCAAACACAACACTGGTCATGTGACATCACGCTCTTGAAAGTCACCTGGAGTTTTATCTTTGCACACAAGTTCTTTTTCCAAGGTGAGACTAACACACACTGAAATCAAAATCTAGCTTGCTATTAGATGAGTTGATTAAGAGTGAACGAAGAAGAACTTGCTAGGCATGTAACTTCTGTTTCTGCAGTCCGAGGCAGTTTTGGCAGTACTAAGATACTGGTATTCTTTCCGGGTGGGATGGTATTTTATCGCAAGATTTCCCACCATCCCCACCCAACAATTTGCTAGTTTCTGTTATACATCGGGCCGAAGAGAGGTACAGCCTTAATCTCAGGGTCTCTCTTCTTCGGGACGAAACACAGCACGACTCGGCGAGGCTATGACAGGCCAAAATTACTGAAGATTTGCACTGAAGTGAAGCAAGTATATTAGGCTAAGATTGATGGTAATTTTCATTTTTTTCACAGAAATGGTTGAAGACTGGACGCTGAACTACAAGCCCGATCTGCTGACGTTTGTGCCTTATGAATGGTCGTTTAACATCATACTGCGGGACTTCGAGATGGTGTGGTTAGGAAATCAGCATAACTGGATTGAATGTACCTCAAACAAACATGAAAACGGTGCGTTGAATTCGGGTTTTTTTTTAGCCAACGATTTGTCCGCAAAATTTGCTGTGACTAATCTTCAAACAACGTCGTGTAGAACCTGGATGCCGTCATAGTCTGTTTTTCATTTTCACTTTGTTCTAAAATCTCGGAGCTTGGAACAACTAACGCTGCTTTCACCCTAACAGAAAGTTTCATTTGTTTTTTTTGGAAGAATGTTTCTTTATTGTGTATTTCCTTTAAAGTCGTAATTAAGAAAAATAGCCGAACTTTCATTGGCTTTGGAGACGTGATTTAATTTATTTTATTCCCTGGATGTTATTATTTTGTTTTCAGCTGAGCTTGCTTTCTGTGGTGAGGTGTTTGACTTGACGTTTGTTCTCCAGTACTTCCGGTTCATACCGGAAATCGAGGAGATCAAGTTCTTTCTGCAGGTTGGTTGTGAAGTCTGTTTTGTTTTCAAAATACTTTGTCACTTAGGTTACTGTTTATGTGTCGGGTTTTTCTTTTGAATTCGCTTCGCGAGCAGTTCTATGAGTAATTTTAATGGTAAGACCCAATTGAAGCTTACACAGTCGAGCCTCTCCATAACGGCCACTTTGGGGACAAAGGAAAGTGGCCGTTGCAGAGAGGTGGCCGTTATGGGAGAGGAGGGGGTGTAACATGACACCTGTTTTTTGGGGGTGATTTTCTTTTCTTAAAAAATGCTTATTTTAGCATTTAAACTGTACGTAACGCAATCAAGATAATCAATAAAACAGGAAATAAACAAAAACAGAGACGAATGACGCGCGGTAAGGATCAAACTTGGTGACCTTTTACTATAGATATGGGATTTTGTGTACACTGGCCGTAGTCAAGAGGTTATTTTGGCAGAGACGTCTTTTAGTGGCCATTGCTGTTGTGGAGAGGTGACCGTTGTAGAGAGGTTAGAATAAGAGTGAATGTATGGACTGTCCACCGGGACCAAAAGAGAGGCCGTTGTAGAGAGGTAGCTGTTGGTGAAGCTTCGACTGTAATTTGTTTCAGATTTAGCAGAGATTTCTTTGTATTGTTGTCTTCCAGGCTGAGAAGTTGGTCGCCAGAATGTTTGTTCCAGAATCTAACACGCTCAGGCGCAGCCTTCTGTCGCTCGCTCGCACAACTGAGAAGAAAAAGGACCAAGGCTCTAGATCGCGTTCATCAACCACCACGGGTAACATAGACGAGGCAGTGGAAAGTGCAGATGAACAGCCCGTGACTAGCACAACTGAGGGAACCATTAGCGGTGGATGGAGGCGGCATACAGATGAGAGTTTAGGTTAGATGGACGTTTAATTTCTTAGAGGCCATGTCAATTTAGTGCCTTGAAACCAGAGCGGCAATAGGCACGCAACGAGGACATGAACACATAGGAGCTTGGTCAACCGCCACCAGGGGAGGAGGGTGGGTCGCAATAGATGACTGTCTTTGTGGAGTACAGGACGAAAAGACCACGCTTCAAGCGGAGCGACCAAATTTAAACTCCAAATGGCGTTGAGCATTACCGACGCTACCAGCACGGGCGATAACGGGGGAATGTGAAGGAATGACAGCATGTTTTGCAATGAGCTAATTAATTATGCAGTGAGAATAGGTTGTATCGACATAACTCAGGTTTCAACTGATGTTTATTGTTATATTTTCTTTCACGTTAGGATGGGTGGATGTAATGTCTGTTCCTATCTTGGGGTTGTCCCTGGGGTACATGTATCACCCACTGTATCCCAGCCCTAAGTACGAAGTGCCCCGCGGTGATCCCCTACCCTGTGACCCTACTCAGTGGGAACCTGACGTCATCAGTTTAGAGCTCGAGGCAGGACCTGCAGCGTTACGAATGTTTGGCTCATTGCTAGCGATGCTGGCGGCTATCAAGGTTTGATATCAAAGTCTATAATCGTTAGTAGTTTTGCTTGTTTAGCTAGCGCGACCTTATCTCCACCCAAACAATCGGTATAGTGTTTGTGAAAACACATTGAGAAGGAAGCCATAGCAGTATTAGAAAGGACCAAAAACAGCTGTAGTGTGAATCCTCCATAGAGCCTAACAGCTGAAGAGGAAAATTCTCAACTCTTTTTACAATAGCATAAAGAGTGCCTGAGAGGACTGGACTGGATTTTAGTCCGACATTTTGGCAGGCTTCCTTAACAATTGCCTTGTACCAATTTTGTTGGAGAGATGCACTGTGAGAGTGAAAAGTCAAAATGTCTTGCCCCATAACACAGCTTCCATCTGTCTCGCCAGGGGTCAAGCCCCGCCTGCTAGTAGGCCACGGCGCCTCCGCGAACGAGATTGTACAATTAGCAGTTACTTTCATTCCCCTTCTTCAGTTTGCCACAGCCGTTTTTGTCAATTTTCGTTTTACTTTCAGAGAAACAAATATTTCTAACCATAAATTTTACTGAAACAGGAAAACTACTTTGGCATAAATCAGCAGTTCAAAGAGTTGGGTGTGAGGACAAACCCAGAGGAAGCCATGAGCGAGAGTACCTTGAGCTCTGGCAGCAGGGACATAATCAACTTACAGACTCTGAGGCCAATGGAAGCCAACATTTTCCTTACCTTGTACGATATCAAGGTGGAGTTAACTAAGGTAAAGATGATGTAAAGGGAATGTGTGACATGATGTGCGTGGCAAGATGTGCGTGACACGATGTGCGTGACATAATGTGCGTGACGTTGCATAACATGACGTGCGTTACGTTGCGGCAGGTTCGATGTTTTTCTGCCATCGGTAAGTGTTATTTGCTTTTTTTTTTCAGTAATTTTTTTTTTTTGCAGCATTGTGGTAGCAGTGAACCGTCCAGTCCACTCTTGTTAATGGAAAGACTGTCGTTTGAGATGCACAAGACTTACACAGAGACTCGTCTTCAGCTGCATCTCAGCCCAGCTACAATTGTGCTTGTTGATGGAAATGAGGTAAGTAAGCAAAGCAACATGAAACTGTGCAGACAACGCTAGAAATTCGCGTTATTTTTAAGCTTCTGCCTGAGATCGCCTCATATTATGGACGATTTACAGATTCATTTGCAAGGGCGTTTGGTTGGGCGAATACCGGGGGAAGGCATATCCTGGGGAAGTAGGGGGAGAGGCGGGGAACGGTTTAGTTATCGATGTAAAAAAAAGAAAAAAACGAGAAGAAACGAAGTTATAGACTGCTGAGCGATGTATTTCCGTCCGTTTCCGTCTGCACACAACTTGGAGAATAACCGTGGGCTATTTCATTTTGGTTAAGGATGGAGAAGATTAACACGGATTACAAACGACGAACTTGAAAAATTTGGGCTAAACTTTTCAAGATGCGCAAACCGTGACGAAGGTCCTTTAAAAGTTGACGTCAGTATCTTTGATGTAACTTTGTGATATAATTTGTTATTATTCTACAGCGTGGAAACGTCAATCAGAATCTGTCTCAAGGACATCTGAGTTTATCTGGATTCCAGCTCCGTGGTCACGCCATGTTCTCTGGTCTTGATCGACCGCCTGACTGTGAGACGCTAGAATACGCATGGCTTGTAGAGATCCAGCTGGGCATACTGACTGGCAGGCTCACCATGCCACAGGTACATTATGTTATGTAATCTATCAGGAATTGTCTCCCTAATCAAGTGTGGTGATCTCTGAAACTTTTTGAATAATCAATCGATCAATCAATTCAAACCTTTTAATTTTTTTTTTAAATAAAAGGAATAATTTCATTCTCTGTTTTCATGTTTCCCATCTTAGCTGCAAGGCTTGGGAAACTGGGCACAGACTTTCGCCTCTTTTTTAATAAAAGGGATAATTTCATTCTCTGTTTTCATGTTTCCCATCTTAGCTTCAAGGCTTGGGAAACTGGGCACAGACATTCGCCTTTCACGTCATCAACAAAGAAAACGACCTGGGGCCAAGTAGTCAGTATGTTCAGTGCATTCACGGCAAGCAGCAAAATGTTTGCGACAGAAGACACAAGAAACGAAAGGTGCCAAGAGACATGGACCCCAACGGAGAGGCAATCGAGGGGTCCTTGTCAAAAGGGACCTTGAATAAAGTGAAGAGATCTTCGCAGTTGTGTATACCCGAGAGTGACGTCAAGTATCAGATGACGAGGGTCTCTCTGGAGAGCGTCAATTTGTTCCTAGTTGAGACGGGGTGCGCGTGTAATCTGGAAGTATGTATGAGCTCTGGTTCCATGCTTAGAAAGTATACGTGAAATATTAAACACTAATGAATGAATTCATTTAACCTCTGCTAAGGGACACTTATCTTAAGCGGTAATTTGATCGTGGTCGCTTTCAGAGGGGTGGACTAGGGTTGCTCAGTGCAAATGAACGGCCATAACTTGCCATCCACCTGTGAAACGGGTTGTTGGTTTCAAGGAGACATGGGTGAAGACGTACTTGATTTTGCAATAAGCTTCTTCTGCAGTCTTGGAGAACTATGGCATAAAGCAGATTTCAAGATGCATTGGCAACCTCAACCAGTACAGGTTTTTTTTTTTTACAGATGACGTCAACTAAGGGATATTTTCTTAATGAACCACGTCCGCCAGATTATCAGAACTAACATAATTTATAAAGCTGTAGGGCAACTAGTAAGGGAATAAACATTTCGTGCTTGGGCTAAAAGATTTGTAACTTTTAAATCATACGGATCTTACATCTTTTCCACTCTTGTCTTCGGATGCTAGCCACTAATTTCTCACGCTTTCCATGCATTTTTCAGATTTTTCCGATCAGGCTAGCCACGTGTAGTCTTCACAGCTCAGAGTCCAGCTCCGGTGTCAGTCTGTTCGTACAGACAATCAAATTGCGTCAATTTGTTTGCACTCCATGGCCCGAGAGAACCCAGCAAGTTCTCAGCGATGTCCGGCGACCTCTGTCCCTTGTAGAAAATTCCGCCTGGCTCCAGGCGGCTGCGGTACAGCTCGGACCGATCGTATCTGATGTTTCAAGCGCTACTTCCAATCCCGAGCTTTACCAGGAGCAAAAAGACTTCCTGGAGATGCACGACGCAAAATTTCAACGACTTTGGTTCCTGTGGGAACCACTGGAGAAGTTTCCTGGCAAGAGGCATGGCTGTTGTGGTTGTGCCGGCGGCTGCAACTTCTTCGGCAAAAATTCCAACGGTCCGCGGTTCTTCACTGCTGATAAATTAGACGCCAGTGAGAACGACACGGGGATTGGTGGGTTTGGAAGCGAGACTGGTTTCTATGACGATGGCGATATTGTGGACAGTGGTGCCAGACCCTTGATGTATTCTCGCAGTGCCGACCTAGATGCTCTGGGTTCGAATTACTTTGATCGAACACCCGTAGGATCAATAGAAGCTTTCACGCGCCGGCGATACCACGTATCAGGGTCAGAGGGCAGCTCTCCGAAAGTGAGGAGGGCCATGCATGCGCCAACAAACGAAGAAGCGTATTTGGAACTTGGCATAGGTAAGGGAATAAATTGAAGGCGACTGCAAGGAAAACTGCGGTATTTTGTGAGTGATCATAGAACTCAGTTTTTGACAAGTTAAGGGGAATATTGCTGAATGTTTTAGGGTATATGTGTGATAGGCTCTGCGTGGTAGAGAAAGAGAAAAAAAGAAAAAGACAAGACAACAACAACAACAAAAATTCTCCTTGGGTTGAATATGAAATCCTCCGTAGGAAAAAAAAGATGGGGCTGTACATTCTACCACTGACAATACCACGCGAACCTTACACAGCCCTTAAAGTACAAGGAAAGCCATACTTTTGCAATATATGTCCCCGTGCTAACGACATAGTGTATGCTTGGGTTGAAGATGTTAGAACACTGTTAAAGTTTTCGTGCGCCAATTATGGGTAAATATACCGGTCGCCATCTTTTTTTTTTTGCTACGGAGAATTGGAAATTAATCCTGTTGTTCCTTTTTGAGGAAAGCCCCGTCCAGTCACTATGTTACTCGTAACGCAGTTATGTGAGGGCTTGATTCTGAAATCGTTTTGATGGGCGCGCAAGGGTCCAAAACAGATAAAACAAACAACCAGAAAATTATGATCGCTGTTTTATGACTGAAAGACTATTTCCACTCGGTTTTCGCCCTATGCAATCCAGTGACAGTACTGAATTTGTGCAATACTTTTTGGTGCATCCAAGAACGCAACAATTTACCGGCTTCGAGCCTTTTGTTTGTATGGAAGCTACTAATGACAACATTTTTATCGCAAAAGTTTTGGCTTGTAAAATAATGACGAATTGGTAAAGACTAGACAAGGATTTTCTGTCTCTCTTTGAACAGATGACGAGGTCAGCCCCATGCCTTCTCGTCTTAGCTGGTGTAGTTCACTTCAGCGCCAGTCCGCCAGTATTTCCAACATGCACGAAAAAATGCGACGAATGCGGAGCACGAGTCTGCAAGGGTCAAAACAGAGCCTGGGACAGAGTAAGAACCAGTCCACCACCAAGGCACCTCATGGAACGCTGCGAAGGACAGGTTCTCATTTCTCCCACGGTAGTGAAGCTTCGTTTTATTCCTGCGGCAGCTTATTGGATGAGATTGATATGGGGTAAGATGCACCTCATAACATTTACGTGACTTTTCAAGTGTTAGTACGGTAGAATCCTGATATCTCGGTACCCGGTAACTCAGGCGAAGCAAAAAATCCGTGTGAGGAAGGGTTGTAGATTAAGCGTGGAATGTTGCTTCAGTACTACAGTCGAAAAGCGACCACCCCCCATTAAGCGGCCAGTCATCAAAGTTCCGAAACTATTGGCAGTAGAATACTGCAAATAAAACTCCTATTAACCGACCACCTTTTGGTCGTTTCGGTGAGGGAATTTCTATTGTCCTTACCCCTATTAAGATGACAGACGAGAGTGTGGAATAGATAGTGGCCACTGATCAAAACATTCAAACACACAGTTATCGTGACTGTCTTGACGTGATTCTTTGTTCACTGAGCAATTAACCTGATGGTTAAAAACATTCAAAGTACACGAGCCCCTATTAAGCGGCCAACCGCTATTAAGCGCCTAATAGGGATTCGACTGTTGTTAACTCTCTGAAAATGATGTCATTGCTAACATTTTTTTTTAGTCCCAGTTCAAGAGTAAACTCTGTTGAATCATTTGTATCTGCCGTGGAAGAACCCGACGATCTGATAAGGTTCGAAGACGAGTCAGTTTCCCCGTCTCATTTTGTTATCACGTCTCCGAGTCTGGTTTACAAATACTCGCAGCATTTGGGTCAGTTAGAATGCTTGAACTGGAATTCACCACTGATGATTCGTCCTGAGCAGCGCCACTTCAGTATTAACAACAACTTGAAGGTACTTCTCTATTAATTATCAGGGAATTTAAGAAAACAACGACGGTAACGGGAACGTCGCTAAACAAAAGGTTTAAACGAAAGGTTTAAAAGGTAGACCATTTTTGCTCGTCTGCGGAGGGAGTCACTGAGAGAAAAAGAAAATTTTGAGCAGAATATGCTAAAAATAGTCATAAACGACAAGAAAGAATCAAGAAAAACATATAGGAAAACATAGAATTTGAAGTATTACATGTAAGTCTGACATACTTGCAAAGAATAGTGATGTCAATTAAAGTCCGCGATGAAAAGAGGCATTGCAGCAGGGAAGCGTTTTGCCTGACAAACGCCTGGCAAATAATAAAAAAAAACCGCTGTCAATACAATTCTGGAACAAAATTGTTATTCAAGTAGCAGAATTTTGGGTGGAGTAGCACTTGAAACACCTTTTTTGACCTGTGAGAACAATCCTACCTTCAGATCAGACGAGAAATGTTTTAATGACATTACATTACTTGCAATATAATTTCGGACGATTTTAATTTGGACAAAAAAGTGTCCAAAAATAAAACCGTCCGAAATTTTTAACCGTCCGAAACTTGACGTGTCCGAAATATCTACAGTACAGTATAAAACTTTTAAATAGCTCCAAAGCCACTAGTTTCCATTATGGGGCGAACTCTAGTTGAGACACTTTTAGATACGTAACGGCTTGATAGAATTTTACTTATTTTGTCGTCGGTGTGTCTGTAAAAGCTTGAGGGTGCAGTAAAATTATCATTTTCACAGATGTTTTTTCAGTCTAAAACGTGCTTTGTAGGCGTAAATTTGCATTAGCTATGACGTTTCAGCAGAGTGTCCTAAATTTTTGTCCGAAATTTGTCCGAAGTGAGCTAAAAACTGTCTGAAAATTAACGTCCGAAATTTTTTGCAAGTAATGTATGATTTAACTTTTTTGTCATTTTTTACTGTCGCCACAGGAAACAGAACCACAAGAGGACTTTACAATTCCTGGAGTGCCGCAATTCACTTATCAAAATGGCGTAACAATCGAGTTTCCAGTTCTTGTGAAGAAAACCCAGAGGAGGACAGATCGTGACGACTGGCATGAAGAAGAGGACGATTCATCTTCTAGCAGCGAATCGGTGTTTTCTCACAACGCTACCGTGAAAGCAGCGAGCCCCGCACGGGACACTCAGGGAGAGACTAAAAACGAAGATGCTAGGTGAGTTTTCCTGTTACTACACGGTGGCCTCGTGGTAAGTGTGCTCAGTGCCTGTCTTCAAGCAGGTGTATAAATGCGTACCGGTGAGCTAATATAAATGCTCGGGGGTAACCCTGCGATGGACTAGCGTCCCTTCCAGGGGGGAGAAGAAATACTCCTAGTCGTTTCATGCTACAGAAACTGGGATAAGCTCCAGCCTGATGGGCCACTTGGCTCGCATGCAGATTTTACCTGAACCTTTTAAGCGATTTTGGACGTTAACTTTTTCCATTTTACCGATTCATAATTTATTGCATCAGTTTCTGGACTAACGAGATTGCCTTCCAATTGCACTAAAGCTTAGCACAACAGTGATCTAAGGTAACAAAGCAAAAGAACCGGTTTGAGGGTCGTAAAACCGCTTTGGGGATGAACCGAGACGACACAAGGATGTTGAAGCATTAGATTTAGACGGTTTATGAATAATTTAAGAGGGAAAGGACCTATAATGAGAGGGTGTTAGGAAAGGGGACTTCGTAAAGTTCCAAAACTTAGCCTACCATTGCAAGTGACTCCAGTTGTTCCCTCTAAAAAGCAGATAATGATTTTGTGTTTTAGTTCTGGAGTTTTGGACGCAAGCGAACACGATTCCAATCGCAAAACTCGGTGGAACTCAACCATCAATCAGCAAGACAGAAACTCGGCCAGCTCCAGCTCAGAATGTTCTCCAAACAGCACCCTGAAAAAGGCAAAGAAATCACGCAACGAAGGAACGGTACTGTTACGCTTTGCTGGAGACATCAATATCCTTGTCACGCCATTGATGCTGGAGGCCCTGCAGAGGTGCGTGACAAAACAATATGAACTCAATCGGCCAGTTAGTCTCCTGTGCGAGCCATCTTTTAGCCTCCTACGCAGACATTCTTTGGGCTCATCACGCAATCTTCCTCCCAGGAAGATTGCGTGACGAGTCCAAAGAGCGTCTGCGCAGGAGGCTAGCCATCTCTAAGCTCGTCTTGCAATGGAGGAATGCGTGACGCGCCAAGAGCGTCCGCTTAGGAGGCCACTGACAGTTAGCGAGATGTGTTATTCAGAATTTTAAGTGTTATCTTTGTTATCTTTGTATCCTCACGTGTAACTTTAATCTGAGTATTTCATTGTTCTAAGTAGCTCTAAGTGTAGTATGGGGAAACGTTGCATTACACAGGTACTAAATTTAAAACCTCTAATGAATAAATGGAGACCATACAGGGACGCTAAAAAAATGGTAGATATATTTACCCTTTTTGTGCTTAAAGAAGCTCAGTCACGGCATTTTGAGTCATTTTGGCCACGTGCAAAATCACCTTCAAAGTGAATGAAGGAAACCTGAAAATAATAGTTTACTAAGATAGAAAAGCACCAAAGCGATAATACTTAACCTTAAGGAAACAAAGATAGTTAAGGATGGAGAAAATTGACACGGATTACAAATGACGAACTTGAAAAAATTTAGGCTAAATTGAGATTTACTAAGATGCGATACCGTGATGAAGCTCCTTTAATTGGGGACACTACTTTTGCTACTTTCCAAAACTGGACGCTTCTCGTACACAGACACTTGAATAATGATCAAAGAATATTCGTTGAAAGATGTACGGTTCTAAAACTTGCACCATCTCTTTTTTCATAGATATTTGACCTCAATATCCCGACAAGACAGTATTTTGCATCCAGCTCTTGTCGTCGACCTGGTGCATGACAAATGTGTGGATGTCACTGAAAGTCTGTACGACAGGCGCATGATAGAAGCACCACTCGATGTAGTACCAGATGGCACACTTGGTCTCCCCCCTGCTAGTGAAGAACCAAAGCAAAAACAGATGGTTGTCTTCTTTAACACATCTAAAATCAACTTTTGTTTCCTCCAAGTGGCATCTGTCGACAGTAGCAGCGAGTCTCCGCGCTCTCCAGACAGTGTCATTGAAGAGGAGAAGCCCCCGTCAGTGTCTCTACTGGCTGGAACGGTAAGCAGCATTACAGCGGAGTTTTTGTCGGTCATACGGAAACCTGCGAGCGATGAAGCCGAGGTCCAGAGGAGAGAGTCGAACGCGTCTGCTCCGGTCGTGTTTCCGAGTGCAAAACAAACTGCCAAAATTGTCGAGTTACAATCCCCGACCAACGAGGAGTCGAGTTTTCCCAATAAGAAGGCGCCACGTCATCGAAACACCATGACGACTGGTCGTGCGACGTGCGCGCAGATTCAGTTTCAGCTTCGGAAGTTGTGTGACGAAGAGGACATTGGGAATTGCGTGACAACCGCCATACCGGAAGAGTCTTCGAGGTGTAAATTCCAAGTAAACAATAGCAGCTACATAAGCTTTACGGAGGGCTTTGAAACTCACGATGTCCATGCTGACAAAATACTCAGTTTACTTATGCTGGAGTGTGGTCTTGACAACGTTTCTTTCAAAGCTGGAAGTGAGTGCGCGAGTGGAAGTGAGGTATTACCGAAGATCCGAGAGAAAAGGCGCGCTTCCGGTCAAGAAAGTGAATTTCGGAAATTTTCCCTTGGCAAAGATCAAAGTAAAACGGACACTGCAGAGACGCACGGGTTTAATAATCCGATGTTTGACAGAGAGCTAGGCCCCTTAGGATTGCGTTTTGTCGAGCAGGAGCGTGGTTCAGATGCATCTCTGAGCCGCGTGAGTTCTTTGCCGTCTAGTCGCGGTTCTCTCAGCAGTAGTAGTGGAAATGATTCAGACAAGGAAAGCGACGCTGACGATGACGTTACTAAACCTTTACTACGAGCGGGAGATCGTTTTGAAAACGCGCAGGGAAGAGATAATTCTGATTCGGCTAAACTGGAGGAGATTGAACCAAAGGACGCAGAACTCGCTCGGAGGACAGATGTTACAATGAATTTCTCCAACATTTGGTTCAATCTTTCGTCACCGTCCTCATTAAAGACTGTGCCCTCGAACTATCACTTATACAACAGTCTTGTCACGACTGCTGTGCCTTTCGTGACAGCATGGATCCCACCAGTCACACAACTTAAGTCAGTTCTCGATAAACTGGAGAAGAATCGGCAACGATTTCTAAACAGCTTGTTTGCGTGTTTACTGGCTCAAGCTCTTCCCGAGTATGGGCGTATCCCGAAAGCGGTAAGTCTGGATTTCCAAGAATAACCGATGTTTTCTTTTAGCCTTAGGCCCCGTCCATATTACGCCTGAGAAGTTTAAAAATGCAGCTTTATTTCTTCGGTTAGGCGTACTGTCCACATCAATCCGTCACGAAACCGGAGCTTTTCGAAGACCCTTTTTAAACCGGAGAAATTTGAAAAAACGCCGGCTTTGCGTGTGGACGGAAAACATTTTGAAAACGGAGCTTTTCGTAAACGCTCTTCAAACCGTAGAAATTTGAGAACACCGACTTTTCATCTTCGTGTAGATGGTAAACATTTTGAAAACGGAGCTTTTCGAAAACGATGGCGTCACGATCGACAATCATGTGATTTCCCTTCATGAGGTTTTATCAGACACAAATCCAAAATGACCGGTGATTGCTACGTTTTCAAATTTCTCCGGCGTAGTGTGGACGGAAAATATTGATGCGTTTTCAGAGTGAAACCTCCGTTTTCAGATTTATTCGGCGTAGTGTGGACGGGGCCTCAGAAAAATCTTCGGGCTGATTTATTGAAAGACCGTCTTCTAAGCTTTACCTGCTTTATAGCACCATCAGGCTGTCAAAAATGGTTTATAAAAGGGTAAGGGTTTATACCTCATACCGTATTATTCCGTCAATGGGGGCTACAAGAAATTGGCTGCTTCTGTACGTGGTTATATTACCTGCAGTACGCCGCAATTAGAGCTTCGAGTGTCAGCGTTTGCGTGACTTTGGTAGTTTGAATTTTGCGGCTTAACGTTAGCGTCACGCAAACCTGATCTTTATCTCCAACTTAATTTTCAGCACACAGTAAGCTGTGGTTCCACGGAGAAAGCTAAGTTTCTACAGGAAGACCACTCCAGCCAACTTATTTACATTCTTCGCCGGCAGCTAACAGGCTCCAAACTCAACAAGATCAATCAAGCTCTTACCATGAAAGCAAATATCCCAGAAAACGAGAATCTAACGAAAGGGATCTTTGCCTTGGCGAGGCAGTGGAAGTGCTTTTTGGCGGGAACCGAGAAAGGCGAGGTCGCATTTTACGGGTCCAGTTCCCTGAAGCGTCGTGTGGTTGGACGTGGAGTACTGACCCAGAGGGACCGCGCTATTTTGTTGAGGGAGGAGAGAGCGAGTAGGCAAGAAGACACCCCTTTGAATGTGAATGTTCCTGGGATACTGGAGACAGTACATGAGAGCCCTAAGTTGACCACTGTGGAGCAGTCTAAAGATCAAGGTTTGCATGGCTTACTTTTACTCTCTACTTTTCTTTCTTTCTTGCTTGTTATTTCTTGCAAACCAAATGATTAACGACTTTGCTGACTTGCGCTTCGGTTATCGCACCTTTTAAACCACTGTCTTGACTTTTTTTAAAATGAAATCCGAAACAATTACTCTTGGCCAATCACGACGAACTTAATTGAATCAATAGCCAATCAGAGCTAAACGCAAGGACACGCGACCATCTCGTTGAGAAACAATTAAACAGTGCCAGGTGTGGGAAAGCTTATACCCGGCTTCAAGCGTGGGAAAAATTGATAACCGGCGCATATGGCATTGGCGGGAAAACATTTGACGGCGTCAAGCGCGGGAAAACATGTAAGCGGTCTAAGGGTGGGTAAAAAAGACAACCGTTGAATAGCGCGGGAAAGCATATGACCTGTGCCAAGCGTGGGAAAACGGCGTTAAGCCAAAACAGGATATGAGAAGATGTTGGTCTTGGTATTGCTCATAGTTAGTTTTTAAAAACGGACAGGCGAAAGTATGAACAACTCTTAAGCCTCTGAAACGTAGAAGCAAACGGGCAATTACCGTAACAATTGTCTGTATCACTACTTGGTTTTAGTTGAGCAGTCAGAACACTGGTTTATTTACCTTCTCTTTTTGTTATCAATAGGAGAATCTCCAGCCGACACGCCAGTCAAAACTGCGAAAGATTCTCTAGCACTGGAGCTCGAACCGTTGGTTGCCGCTAAAGCGTCTCCGGCGCCTGCTCACTTGGATCTGCCAAGACCAAAGAGAGAGGCCTCACAAGAGAGTGACACAGACTCAGATTACTCACCACCAACAACCGTGAGGAAACCTCCCAAGGGAACGTCATACACTGAGGGAAAGAAGATGGGCCATCATAAACAGCTCAGTCTGTACAGCTGGCTGTCTTCACCGCCCACTACCTCCCCTCCCACGTCACAAACCAAGTCAACTGTCGAGGGAGGACGGGAGAGGAAGACAGCAGAGTTCATTAAAGGTACGAACGTTTGGTCAACATTAACGCTAAAGCTGTCAAAGTGATTTATTGCAAAGTAACTCACGACGCGTAAATAAGTTTGGAAGTTTACTATGTTAAGCCTTTAAAGTCGAAGAGAACCCGCGGTTTACTCTGTTGGTTTTAAGATGTTACGAAGTTAAAACAAAAAGAATAGGTACCATCCCGAGCCAACCGTTAGGAAGCTTAAGGATCATTCATCTTGGCTTTGGATTTTAACCTTTGTTTACCTTTGCTGTTCTACAGAGCGTTTTTCGCTGCAGCATTAGTGTCAAACTTCTTTCTAAATTTTCTCCCTCACCGCTTTGTTTCTTTATGATTCTCCAGGTTCTATTTCCAAACCGATGTCCCCTGAACAGCCAGTTCTGTTCAGTGATATGGTAAGCGTACCGACCAGCGGTAAACAGATTAAAGACGAGCGCGAGACTTTCAAGAACTTCCTACAGGCCATCAATCTAATGCCTAGGGTCGCTAAACAACAGGACACAGCCAGCACATTCTCTGTGAGCACTAAGCTGAGGTACCTCCACGTGCATCTGGTAGACGGAGGGTTCGATAACTTGGCTAAGAAAGGAAAGGGCAAAGGAAAGAATAGAGTAGAGGCTGAAGACCGAACCAAGAGACGGCGCCAGGTAAACAAATCTTTTTACTGTAAATTTTAAGCCACATTTACGTAGAGCGTTTTTTTCCTTTTAAGCAATTCCTTAGGCCATATGGTGGCGCCCAAATTCGTTGCTAGGGACCCTCAGATTGGCGTTTTTGTAAACTTCGCCTAAGATCAATCATTTACTGACCTCTACAATTACATTTATAACATTTTGTGTGCACATTACAGAAAAAATTATTCTACTTTATCCTGTTTTTTAAGAGCTCACTCTTATCAATATTCAACGAAATATTCCCAAATTCGGTTGTTTATTGTGGCGCTCAAACTCGTTGCGCTAATTTTGTTTATGATTTTGCTTTTAGGAGAGAGATCCGGTATTCATTGCAAGAGACTTCGTTGTCAGATTTCTTTGCGATGAGACTCCTTTGGACATTCCATGTAACAAAACCCCGAACAGCAGTTTCCACTCGGAGGAGGACAGTACCAAGCTAACTCAAATCAAGTTTACTGTGGGCTGCGGAAATATCACGCAGCGTGTTAACCTGTCGTTCGTCCGTTTAGTCCTTCAAGTTGTAGACATGCTAGATTTGCTGTCAGATGTCATTTCTAAAAGCAATGAGAACGACGTACCTTTGATATCTGGGGACCCGAGCTTGATGTCGGCTGAGGATAGAACTGATGGGGTTCAGGTGTTGAAGTCAAAAGTGCCCCATGGTGCTGTGAAGTGTTGGAGAATAATGTACCAGATTGTGGACCTTTATTCGTCACTTCCCCGCGAGGCCAAGAATAAGGGCTTCATGCGACGGAGCACCATAGGGAGAGCACTAGGAGGTGACACGAACTCGAAATGTTAATTCTCCATACTGATTGTATAAGTTTTCTTCACTTTTAGTACTGAGAATTTGGTATTACATAAAGTTGATGATTTTCGTTATTCTTATCACCCGTCTGCTAATAACGTACTCTTATTAAGAAAAAAACAAAAATTTCGATCTCTTTTGGGTGTAAAAAGGTTTGTAAGTCTTATTTACTTTAAACTCATAGCTTGTAGGGTGATGTGCTAACGAAATGACAAAAGATTCACAAGTTGATAATTTGCCGTGGATAGACCTCCATGAAGGCGAGCGAGGGAGCCATTAATATTTCCTTGCTAAGGGTGTGTTAAGTGGTTGTCTTTTTTCTTGACCTGTGTACCTTCCCGTGAAATATTCAAAACTGGTCATACCATGTGAATTTAAATGATACCTTTTTCCAGTTGAAAGAAAAAACAGTAGTACATCTATTTTCTAAACGAAAAGAAAAGCGAAAACAGTCTGTCTGTTTTGAGACGGTTCAGGTGTCCTTAGTTCAAGATGTGCATATCGGAACGTGTGTATCTGAAATTGTTTTGCTTCCCTCCATTTTCTGGTAAAATGCCAAACATGCGCAGTTGTTGTGTGTTAAGGTCCTGATCACGTGATCATTGATTGGACCAGTTGTTCTGTTCCGTTGAGTGAGGTGATGTTCTGGATAAGAAAATCGCAATGGTCTGTAAATTTTTAAAAGAATCTTTTTGTTCTGCTTCTCCTTGATAGCCGACAGAATGTCACCAGATAAGCCCTGGGAAGTGAAAATTGACATCGAAGACGGCCCGACGGACGATCGAAGAAGACGCCGCGCTCACAGTCCAGGCAGTCCCGAGAAAAGGCGCTCAGCCGCCAGCCGAAGCACCACTGAGGCAACGATCATTACAGATCAGGAGGATGCGCCAAGTGTGATACCACTGTCCATAGTGTTCGGTGTTGTAACGTTACCAAGAGTTAAACTGCTGGCCAGTATTGGTGGGCTCATTCTGGAGACGGAGATCAGAGAAATGAGTGTGTCTTGTTCTAGGAAAGAGGAAGCTGAGAAGAACTGTGAAGGTTTGCGAATTTTTTTGAATCTTTTGTAGACGAAAATGTCGTGTTGTGGTCGGGGAAAAGGTCCGCGGTTTTGGCAAATGCTCGTGAAACTGGCGCGCGATTTTTTCTCCTGAAAAGGGACGCGCGCGAGTGTCGCCTTGCTCTCCCTAGTTTAATCATAAGTTTACAGGTTCAAATCTTCTCGTGGGTATTAACACGAGCCGTGTGGGTGTTATGCCTGAATCACTGCTCAACAAGGACTGCATTAAACAATTATTGATGTAGTTTCATCTTTTCATTTAGGACACGCGATATCTTCCGTGACGGGACATGTGGGAAAGACTAAAGTGGACCTAAAGGAGACTTCGAAATTTGTCACGGGGTAATGGATAACTTATAAGAGTGAATGATGTTTGAGTTGATAGGCTGTGATTCCTCGGGAACTTTTGTTCAAAGGTTTGATCTTTAGCAGCACCCCTCTTCTACGTAGAGCTGATCTTGTAATGTCTGAGGGACAGTCTATAGACGGGGTACAGTGTACAGTGTAGTGTGGGGTACAGTGTATAGACGGAATGTGCAGCACAGAAAAGGTATGCTTCCAAGCACATTCTATATTGAATTGTTTCACTGACTGTTTTACAGGACTGTGGTAAGCTGCAGTTTGTCTCGTTCTCATGCGCTTTACTCTTCCGTCACGCGAGGCAGTGAGGAGAAAGGTAACGCATTGGTGACATTGGGTATGATTGATATCGATATCCCTCAACACCCTGTTGCGTTACATTCGATGATGACGCGCAGCTCACGCGCCATATCACGTCACATCTCGGAGATTCAGACCCAGAGATCAGTCATAAGGTAAGTAATAAGAAGGTCTCTCTGTCCTTAGGTATTGTCCCGGCGTAGGAGCCTGAGTAGAGGTGCGGGAAATAATAAATTCTTTGCTTCTGCGGCTTCGGTACACTTTGCACCAACTTTGTGCTCACAGATGTCCTGGATCATTCGAATCGACAGGATGGAGTCTGATTGAGTATAAGGGTGTTTCCCCTCGGCTAGCTAAATTTCGATGCATTAATAAAGTTTTTGATTGATTTGATTGATTGATTGACTGAATGATAAAAATTGTTCTTTCAAAGTAAAATGTTCAAGCTAGGGAATTGCTGTGTCTCTGGCTCTTTTACAGAAAAGGGAATTCAAAAGGACAGTATGTACTGTTTCATTCGGTGTTCTCGACAATTTCAGTGATTTTCAAAACTTTTAAATCCGGAAGTGCTCGTGCATTGAATTTTGTCACTAGGGTAAAGCCAAGGGCGGTAATTCATCATTACTTTGACACTGAATGCAGCTGTGGTAATTGGATCATATGCATGTTAGTGCGAGAATTTTATAATGTGATGCTGCTATTGTCTTGGAAACCAAAACCCCAAAAGTTCCTAACAACTCCACCATTTTTCTCTCTTCAATTTCTTAGATCTATGGCAAGTTTTGAAGTTAGTTCCCAGTCCCGTCTGATGGGCCACAGGTTGTCGGGTGTTCCATCGGAAATTTCAAAGTTCACCCAGCTCGTGTCTCCCTCAACTCCCAAGCCATTTGCTCTGTTGGATCGTGTCGATGGCCCGTCCCCACTCCCCTCAGTTTCCAAGATCTCTTTCACTTGTGTGTTGAAAGGGTTTGGCTTAGGAGCTTCGTTACTGCCATCTTTAAGAGCAGAATACAAGGTCAGACAATCAGCGTTTAGCTCTTCTTCCTTTGTGTAGCGTAAAGTAGTGAAGTAAACGTTAGTAATCTATGTTTGAAAAAGAGAGAATAAAAGTCTTGACATACTTGCCGGGAAAGTAGTGTCGCTTGTAAATCGGTAAATGTGGAAGGTTCAATATTTAGTACCAATTCACTCAGTAGTGCCGTGTAAGTATGGGGCGCCGTTTGTAAATTTATTATTTAGACCGAATTTATGCCATTTTCCCCTTATTTATAAA